AGTGATGATAGCAAACTCTACCTCAGTGACCTCGCCTAAGGTCAGCGAACACCCCTCCAATCATACACGTAATTTTCTTTATTTACATGATTGTTGCGCTCTGATTTGTCCCCCAATATGCCCCACCCATTCAACCTCCTAAAACCAGATGCCCGTATTGGAGTGGAGCGCGCTTCGCACGCACTGTGGGGACCCCACGATAGTTCCTTACCTTGGCATTAATCGTTTAGATCACGTAACTCAGCCTCTAAACATGTAATCGCCCGCATTGCCTTTTTATTATCCACTATTCTTCCTTTCTGTTTCCCGTTTTCCTTAAATAAGATGTGTTCACTATGGTAGATAAGGGCTCCCTGATCGAGTATTGGACTTACTCGTCCTGCTGTGCTTTGTGGGTCATTCTCGAGCCCCACCAGCAGCTGTACAGCGAACTTCGGGTGTCGAAACACCTGGAGTTAGGCATGGTTGGCTGATGACTGATCAACCAGATATGGTCAGTCTAGTTTCCCGTGTCCTTGTCGCGAACGTAAATTTACCTATTACCCTCAGGTTAAGGTGTGATAGGAAAGCGAGCAATGGTACTTCAAGAGGGTTGAGCAGATAAGACGGGAAGGGCGAGTAGATAAGAAAAATGATCTTTTTACAGGCATGATACAGCAATAACAGTCCTCTCCATAGAAGGCAAATTTAGACAAACTGTGGCAGCTCCTCTTTGGTTCTATGAGCTCAGCAGTGTGGCCAAAGCCTCGAAAAACTTCAGCATGTCTTCTCTGTACAGTTCAATACCTAAAGAGACGTAAGAGTAAAAAGGAAAAGACAGCAGACTTACAATGAGAATCAAAATACTTGAATTCCGCGCGAGCTTTTGTGCGACGCACGGCCACCTCAAAAGCTTGTCCAAAGAGGCTAAACAGGGGGAGAAAAAATGGCGTTGGTCAGAGGAAACACACATAAAGAGAACCTACTTTCTGTCATCATCCCCATGCAGAGGCGGTATGCCAAGCAGGGTGAGTAGGTTTTCGTCCTCTTTGCTGTCCACACAGAGCACCAGTG